CTGTCTCCTGCTTTTGGGTATGACTTCTTCTTTTTCTTCTAGAACATTTAGATGTGCTGTTAAGTTATTAGAATGGAATCATTCTCTCTTTTTGTTTCTCTCTAAGTAGGTACCTAGTGCTACGAATTTGTCTCTTAGAACCACCTTCAATGTGTTCCATAAGTTTGGGTATGTTGTCTGTTCATTTTCATTTAATTCTAGATAGTCTTAAATTTTATTTGTCTTGACCCATGTTTTCTTCAGTAGAGAGAGTTGTTCAATGTCCAAGAATTTGTAAGCTTCCTGTTGTTTCTATTGTTGTTGGTATATAGCTTTAATCTATGTTGTTCTGATAGGTTACAGGCAGTTATTTCAAAATTCTTATATCTGTTGAGATTTTTGTGTCCAAGTATGTGATCAGTTTTGGAGAAAGTTCTGTGAAGTGTTGAGAAGAAACTATATTTTGTGTGTGTGTTTTTTAGGGATGACACGTTTTGTATATGTTAGGTCCATTTGGTTTCTAATGCCAGTTAGTGGCAGCATTTCTCATTTTGGAGGGGTGGCTTTGATGACTTGCTTATTGCTACAAATGTTTTGAAGTCTTACATTATTGATATGTGAGTGTTAGCATGTGATTCATGCTGTAGTAGTGTTTCTTTGTGAATATTTTAATAATGTTTGGTATATAGATGTTAGGAACTAAACATCCTGTTGGAGGTTTTTTTCCCATGATGGGTATGTTGTAGTTTCCTTCACTATCTCTTCTGTTTTGCTTTAGTTTCAAGTCTATTTCAGGAGATTTTAAAATCATTACACCAACTTGTTTCTTAAGTTCATTTGCCTGGAATTTCTTTCTTGTCCATTCTGTTGTGCTGAGGTGATACCTGTTTATGATGAAAATGTGTGTTTCTTGGTTATAGAAGAAGGATGGAGCATATATTTCCATCTATTAGTCTGTGTCTTTTAATTGGGAATATCAGATCATTGATGTTGAGTTAGAGCAACAGTGTGTGTCTTTGTGTGTGTGTGCGTGTTTGTGTGTGTGTGTGTGTGTGTGTGTGTGTGTGTGGTTTGCATGTATGTACTTCCACTATTTTTTTAATTTGATGGTCTGGGATTATTTATTCTTTATGATTTCTGGGTTCAGGTTAACACTTTTAGGTTTGGGCTTTCCTTCTAAGTGCCTTCTGTAGAGCTAGATTTATATATACATATTGTTTAAATTTAGCTTTTTTCCAGCATGTCTGCTTTTCCATGTATATTTATTGAAAAATTTTCTAAAGCTTAATAGACTGGGCTAGCATTTGTGGTTGCATAATGTCTGTAGAGCCTCTATTCAGGACCCTCTGGCTTCAAGAGTATGCTTGGAAAACATAGGTGTTGTTCCACTAATTTTGCCTTTATGTGTTACTTGGTATTTTCTCCTTGAAGCTTTCAATGCTCTTTTGTTGTTGTTGTTGTATATGCTTAGTGTTTTGATTACAATGTGCTGAGGGAAATTTCTTTTCTGGTCTACTTTATTTAATGTTCTATATGTTTGTTGTACCTTTTTTTGCAATCTCTTTCTTTAGGTTAGGAAAATTTTCTTCTATGATTTTATTGAGCAATCTTTTTGTGCCTTTGGCCTTCATTTCTTCTCCTTCTTCTAGTCTGATCATTCTTAGATCTGGCCCTTTCATAATTTCCCAGATTTCGTGGATGTTTTATTTCAGGAACTTCTACATTGAACCATTTCTTCCCTTGTGTCACCAATGTCTAAGATTTCTCTTTTTTCTGTTGTGTTTTGCTGGTGAGTACATGTAGTCACCCTAATTGCATCATAGGGATAAGTCTAAATTCTCTTTAATAAACATTAAATTTGTTCATATCATCTACTATTGAGGAAGCAGATGTTTGAATATATAAACAGAACATAGTGTATCTTGTAGAAAATAAATGGTAACACAGTTTCAAAACTGGTCACTGACCACTTCTATAGTCTCTCCTCATAAATACAATCTTTTCTTTAAAATTTCTTGGTATCAGTGAGTCAAAGTGGTGATACTTTCCATCCTAAATAGGAGTTTTACACCGGGGAAAAATAATTAAAAATAGAAAAACAGGGTCTAGGAAATAAGTTCCAGACCTAGTATAGTGACACCTAATTATAACTATAGCATTTGGGAGGCAGAGGAAGGAGTTCATGTACTGAACTACAGGTGAACCTTGTTGTACAATATTATTTTAAGATTTGTTACATTCATTATGCAACATAAAAGAATACAGAATTTTGTGTTTGTGCTTTGTTATTTGTTTTTCCTACATTATAGAATATTATTTTAAGCTATGTTACATTTGTTTATGCTCTGGAAGAGTTTAATGATGAAAAGATGTGTTGTATTCTTTGATGTTGCATTTGTTTAACTCTGTGAAGCTGTGTTACTTTGCCTGTTTAAAGCACTTCAGTGGTCTAATAAAAAGCTGAATAGCCAATAGGTTGGTAGGAAAGAATAGGTGGGGCTGACAGGCAGAAAGAATAAATGGGAGGCAAAACCTGAGAAGATCAAGGAATGAGAAAAAGAGAAAAGGAGAACTCCACAGGTCAATCACCCAGTCACCCAGCCAGACATGAAATAACATGGAAAGAGAAGGAATACAGAAATAAAGAAAGGTATAAGCCCAGAGGCAAAAGGTAGATGGGATACTTTAAAGTTAAGAGAAAGCAAGAAACAATCTAAGCTAAAGAAAGACATTTATAAGAAACAATAAGCCCCTGCAACTGATTTATTTGGGACCTGGGAGATAGGTCCCTCAAGTGTAACAAACAGACAACAACAGAACCTAATTCAAACAAATAAATATTTTGAAAGAAAGAAAGGAAGGAAGGAAGGACGGACGGAAGGAAGGAAGGAAGGACGGAGGAAAGGAAGGAAGGGAGGTAGAAAGCTAGTGAGGTGGTTCTATGAGTAAGGCATCTTGCCACCAAAACTAACAACCCGAGTTTGATGTTTAAAACTCATATGGTGGAAGGAAGGAATAAAGTTTGGTAAGTTGTCCTCCACATATATGGTGTAGTATGACCTCACACCAAATAAACCATATGCCTGCCATAAATGGTAGGTGAGGATGGATAATGTGAATTGATTAATTTTCTTCTACTCTTTTAGGAATGCTTTTTCCTATTAGGCCTTTGGAAACTAAGTGAGAGCACATGTCATAGTTCATTAATATTGGCCATAATATTCTGCTATTAATGTCTTCATATTTGAGTTTTCATAAAAATGGAATCTTATGCTCTTCAAGAAAAGCATGAGATTAAGTCACAACTTTCAGATTCATTAAAAAAGCACATGATAATGTGAAAACCAAAAAAAGACTTAATTTTCAAATAAAATATATAAATGAATAAATGAAAGTGGCTTGATTTTTTTTGCAAACCTCGAAGGTCCTAATAAACATTTCTCTGTTTTGCATTTAATACATTTGCTTTGCTAGCAATTTTGTAAATGTGATGTGAACATCATCAACATTTTTAAAACTTTATTTTTATTGCATGCATACGAGTATTCTGCCCTGATGTATTTGTGTGTAATAGTTGCAAACAATTCTTGCAGAGATCAGAAGAGGGTGTTGAAGTACCTGGGGCTAGAGTGACATAGAGTTGTCAGCTACCATTTTTGGGGTCTGTGATCCATACCCAGGACCTCTGCAAGAGCATCAAGTACTGTTAAGTTCTAATGCCCTTCATCAGCAAATTTTAAAGAATTGTTTATCTTGTTTATAAATTCTTTGTGTGTGTGTGTGTGTGTGTGTGTGTGCGCGCGCATGCGTGCTTGCAACTTATGACACAGAACATGTAGAGGTCATAAAACAATTTGCACATATTAGTACTCTGATATCATATTCTACAACAGCATTCATTAACATGGGTAATTCTGTTTCCCACAAAATAGCTGACATCTCCAGATATTATTCATTTTTGCAACTTTTGTGGAGTGTGTTGCTATCATCCTCTTAATGGATAGAGTACAGAGACTCAGATGGATACTCTACCATGGAAAAGACAATTGAAGAATTGCCTTGCCTAAGATTTTGAGATTTGAAGTCCTTATTCTATGGAAAGAAATGAGTAGAATGGTCAGGTTTATTAGAAACAATTAATTCAAAAATAAAATATCTCACACCAAATATTGAAGCAATTATTCAGAAAGCATTGTATTTATGTGACTGGCAAGGAGTGGTGAACATGGAGAAGTATATACTTGGTTTTTAAAGCACCTGTCTTGCTCTTTTGTAATAGAAAATTTATATAATTTATAATTATATAAAACTATATAATAAGAATAAAGAGCAAATGACAGAAATAGTAGAGATTAAGTTCCAGTAGTTAAAATATGTTAGACTGACTGTAAAATTGCAAGTTGCAGTAAAAAAAGAACATTGACTTTTGATTAATGCTTTTACATGTGTCATGGTAGAATAAAACATTAGTGAGGGGATGCATGTTGTAATCATGGTTCTTCAAAAAAAAACACTCTTGAAAGTGGCTTTCTGAAGTGCTTACTAGAAAGAAACAACTCATTAATGGTAGGTCTTGTTTGCCACACTTCTTATGTGATTTGATATGACTTGTATTAATTATAATATTAAAAATAACAGTCTGATACTTTATGTATCAACTAAAACTAATCAGCACACCACTTAAATTGAAGTGTCTAAACAGAGTCTTATGTTGAATTGTTTGAGAAAGGGAAGGAGAGGAATAATGGTTGATTTCTACAGTTACATTACTACATGTATAACATTTGTTTTGACTGCAATTTGAATTCTATGATAAGAACAAGAAGTCAATGTAAGTTAATTGCAACAAAACCTTTCCACTTCAATAGAAGAGGTAGAAAATGCTTCTTCAAGTATCCTATGAAAATTAGTCCGTGACACTTCTCCTTCCCTGCAGAACATGTTCTCTAAGTTGATCTTGGAATATTTAAACCACATGATGAAAGAATTTTATAAATTTAAAAATTACCAAACACAGCCACTTAAATATGTAGAATTTCATTTAAATAAGTCAGTCAACAATTTTTATAAAGTATTTAACACTTCATTGTAGAAACATAGGCAAAATGACTATTATAACCAAAATGAAAAATACTGTTCAATTTAAAAAATGTACTTAAACAAGAACCTGAAAAAGTTTATGGTATGCATAACATTGTTCAAGCAAATCACACGAGTATTACATAAACCAATATTCTATAAAGGCCTCAGTATGGCAAAGTTTAGAAATAGGTAGTATGCATGCACATTATACAACAAAAATTTCCTTATAAAACAGCAGTTTTTAATGCTTGTACAAAGGGAAGAGAGCAACCACAAACATATTTCATCTGTTAGATTAATACATTATGACAGCTAAAATTCAGTCATGTCTATTAGAGGGACAAAAACCCCCACAGCTTATGAATAAATCTTTTGTGCCTTTAAAGATATTTGTATAAAAATGTTATCTTTTTTATACAACTTAAATAAACCATATTTGTTACAATCAGTTTTTGAAAACAAAGTGAATGGGTCTGTGTGTTTTGTGTAACCAAAGAGAAATCAAATTACCAATGCTAACGGCACAGAGAAACTCTCCACCTGGCATTATGGCAGGTTATTCTTATACCTCGAGAGGCCCTTGAATCATAGTTGAATTGGGAGAACAATTAATTAGTCATTTCATATCTTCAAAATATTTACCAATTACTTCATACAAAGAAAATTCTCTTTCAACTAGAAAAGAGAATGCATTCACAAAACTGAAATTTCCCATCAGTTTGTGTGGTTGCATGTGGATTTCTTGTGTTTAGTGTTGCTAAAGGTTATATCCATCCAGAAAATGAACTGTTGGCTGGCTGTGTGCCTCAGGACTGAGGAGGAATAAAAGTTCCTATCCCACAGCAAGTGTTATTAGTACTGTCTCTGGTTAGAGGTTTGCTATGTTCTACGAATCTAAATATCACTATTGTTACAGGGGGTACATGTTTTGTATGTCATAGAGTCTACTAAATTTTTTTGGAAAATAAGTCATTTGTATTCATGCAAATTAAAATTATATTTTAAAAAAGGTTTTGCCTCATATTCCAGTTATTCCTTTGTCATCTGATATTAATTGCAAAGCAGGAGATGCTGTACTTTTAAGGGATATATACTCTCAGCTAAATTTCAATCCACGGTTATGAGCATAGAGAAGAGAGTCTGTCCTTTCAATACAAGAGAAATATAATGTCATTGTATTACAGTACTTAGACAACAGAATGAGAAAATGGAGAGTTCTTTGCTGATTATGTAGAACTAAAGATTCTTATAAAATAGATTGCTCATATTAACTCTACAAAGGAATATTTTTTAATTTTAAGAAATTCAAAGGTGTGTCATATCAGCAGCATTATTTTAAGTTGTAGTGTAGTGCAGTTATTTTTCATAAAAATACCATAAAAATGGTGAATCCATATTCATTAGCAAAAAAAAAACCCAGAAAACAATTAACCAGGAAAAAAGATAAGGAGATAATGCTGATGCTAAAACAAGTATAATACTGTTGGAACATACAAAAGTAATCCTCATATGTTATATATTTATACAGCATAGAAAAATGGCCTTCGTTACGCCACTGTCTCTCTGATGCCAATTTCAATTTTCTTTGGGAGCAATTCTTTCCGTTCATCGACACTTCCTAATGAGTTTCTACAGTTTTGTCCGTCCATATATAATTTTGCATACACTGGGTTGGAGTAATTTGTTGGCTGGAGGAGAAAGAAAATAAGTCTAATTATTCTCTCTCTTTGACCACATCAATTATTTTGCAGAATGTCTATTTTTAATGATAGCATGTAATTTAAATTTTCATAGATTTTATTCTATTTTAATGTGGAAACAATACTATATCTTAAGGTAGCTTGGGAGCCAAACAGAAACTTCAGTATAAAACATAAAAACTATGTTCTGGTAAAAGTTACACCTATCATAACTTTACTTTAAAAAAATGTTAAACCTAATTGTCACCTTTCATGGATATTTGGCCTTTCACCTCCCTTGCCATCACCTCTGACTGCTACTGCAAGTCCACAGATAGCAAAGAAAGTGAGGATACAATATTCATCTAACTGGTTTCCTCTTCTTATTTTTCAATACAAATTAAACATAGCAAATGAAGTGAAGTCAAAGTTCCAAAATCCATCAAGGAGACTACTGGCATTTTTTTCTTCCAACAACTTGCATGCACTTGCTCTTGGAAACACTTTTAGAGTCTTCCAAATAAACTTGACTTTACAGTCACCTGAGGTTTCAGAGCCATAATTGCTTTTGACAGAAAATCAAGGATAACAGAAGCAGGCTCTTCCAGTTCAAAACGACATGCAATTATCATTATTAAAGAAATTGCAACTTAACAAAACAAAGTGCCATTTCATTTTTATTTTTATTGGTGCCTTGGTCTAGTTTGAGTTTTTCTTTTTTTAATGAAGAATCTTAACCTAGTTACAGCAAGGAAACATGTACTCTTTATCGCATGCAGAGGAGACAATGTAAGACAAACAGTGAGAATGGAAAGGATTTGATGTTCAGGAAAAAGGGGGATGGGGGGAATGTGAAAATCCACAATCCATTGTTCTGCCTAAAATGAACTTTGTGACTATGGACAGAAAAGCTTTTTCTGAACTCAGTAACTAGATGTTAAAAATAAGATAGATTTAATTAGACCATCTCTAATTTGCCAATATGATGACACATTTTTGGCATGTTTTACCTTAACTTCTTATTTATAATCTATCTACATACCTATCCATAATTAAAACAGATTCATTTAAATCGATTCACTTTAAATTTCTCTTCATAAGTCTGGGTGGCCATATAAGTTAAAATTCTTCCAAATCCCATAGAAGAGATACTTATCCACTTAGTAACTGGTCCAAACTGGTAACATGTTTTATAAGCATTCTTGTATGGAAAGAACACACAGTAAATGCCTGAGATTTTAATACTGTTTTGCAAACTCTTGTTAACTAAAACCATGATAAGGGCAAGTTCTGTCCAAGTCAAGCACGGCTCTGGGAATGGTAAGGGTTTCCAATGGGATGAGAAGGAAAGGATAGGCTGTTTCTCTCACCCCAGAAGTTAGAGGTCCTTTCAAATCAGAGTTTAGGTAGATGGGCGGTGCTGTGTGTGGGAGCTTGAAAGCACTGGGCCCTCCCCCTATGTATCTGGACTGTACATAAACAAAAGATTTTATCTCACCTAATGTCATAGAAACATTTTTTCACTAACACAATACATAATTAAGTCATACAATTAATATAAAATACTCTAACCCTAGGCCAAAGCAAGAGACTTGGGTCAACGTGAAGACCTTCGGATAGTTATCTCAAAGGTGAGAACATCAGTAAGGTCCAGTTTCCTGACACATGTTTTGTACGGATCATGTCCATGTCTATTTATCTATGGGTACCAGTGGAGATCTTGACATTGAAAATTTAGAATTTAGACAGTAGTACTTCCTGTAGACTTAGCTATCCTCTTCTTATTAGTGAACATTTGAAAAGCATAGAAATACAAAGAGGCATATCTATTTTAAAAATCTTCATAATCAACTGTTAAAGTTGGACAACCTAAGATATGTTAAAAAGAGAAGAGACTTTGGAAAAGTCTCTAACATAAATGGAGACAATTTGGTCCTCTGATGCTTGTCCACACAAGTTTAATATCAGAAATTTAAAAAAATTAATCATAGGGCTTGAAGTTTGAATGAATAACCAACCATTTTTTAATTTATCACACATTTGAATAAGAAAATCCAAGTAATGTTGAAATGAAGTTTGACAAAAATCTACAAATATTCCTTTCTGAGTAGTTCTAATTATTCCGGTTTCAGTTTTATTCTATCTATTATACTAAAGACACCAGTACTTTTGATCATGAGACATCAAAGAACTAGGAGTTTTAATCACATTCGCTATAACAGAACTGACAATTTCACAAAACTCTATGTGCCACATAATTTACATTTGACTACATAAAACTTCTAGGGTACAATTTGCTAGGTTATTATGAGAACTATGGTCTGCCTTTCTGCAATTGTTAATATATAAGTTGTTCTGTATTTACCATTCATGCAACTATTCATAGTTAGATCCCAAACATTATGAATGAGGTAGAAATAAACTGTAAATTCTGTCAGCTAATTGGTAATCACGCATTTACTAAGTGCTAAGTGAAAGCATATGAGTACATTGAAATTATTATGTGAAGGTCTTGAAATACGGTTTTATTTTCATAAAGTAAGTGTGGGAATATTTCAATGAGCTGTGTTCTCTTTAGGTTTAAGTAAGTGTATGAATGAATTCAATTGCTAGGAGTCAGAATAACAAAAAGATTTTAGAAATTTCCTTGCAAAGCTGAGGAACAAATTCTCATGAGTTCATGCTACACAATGTATACCTTTATTCCTTATAACAGCTTGAAGATGACCAGAAGTCTCTGTGTTAAGATGGCTTTCCTTTAAATGGATAAATTCCTAAGTGGCCAAATACATATCATCTTTCAGTATCAAGTACAATTGCACCAAGTTTAGCAGTACTTAATACATGAAAATTCTAATATAAGAGTTTGTTAATTAGTAAATAACAAGTAATATTAATCCTAATGAAAATGGTTATAATATATGTATCCTTATAGTAATTGCTGATTTTTATCATAGAGAATATGACTGCAAATTTCAGGCTTAGGAAGTCCAATCCTAGGCTCAGAAGTAGATTCCACTGGAAGGGAACTATAGAAACAGAAGAAAATTTACTTAAGTGAATTATTGGTTTCTGTAATTATACTATAAGTTACAGTTCAGACAAGTGTCTTTAACAACTCAGTAGCTCAATACATTTAAGAAATAAGGGCTCAAAAGGAAACTACAGGACAGTTTTTTTCTTCACTTTTCAACCAAACAATATTGTGATGAAAATAATTATTTTGAAATTAAACTAATGAACTCTCTTCATAATGAAAAATAAAAGAAATGTTATGCTGTGCTAGCACTGCGAACAATTTAAGTTACTATATAAAGTTGTATCGCATTTTTCTAAATCACACAGAACTAGTACGTTCCAGTGAATGTCATACATCAAGTGTTTCCCTTTAGAACAGCCTAGATAACACAATATATCCTAAAATCTTGTGCTATTATTTTAGATATTAAGAATGAATGATTAAATTCAAAATTCTGCAGTGGGTTTTCAAGAATGTTAGTATTCTCTGCTCATGATTTCAAGACATATTACCTTTACTGGATCGATCATGAAACTTGGTTCTAAAAGACTCCCATCACTGTGGTCGTGATCCACTTCATACATATTGTATGACGGATTGCCAATTTCTACATTTATTCCTCCATTGATAATAGGCTGTCTCCTGATTGTCTTTGTTCTACAATATGTGAACATAAATTTAAATATCAATTGTACAGACATCACAATTTAAGTTCTGTACTATTAAACATTTACTGATCTGCTGACAAAGTACAACAGACATATTCTGAATAAAACACAATTGATAAAATATAAATGAGTTTTTTAAAATCACAAAGTATCATACATCTCATAATTCAAGCATTGTTTTCAATGATTATTAGAGGCAAAATTCTCTTGAATATAATACCACATTAGCAATAAATTCACAATTCAATTTTGGGTTAAATTTCAAATGTTGTCTTTTGTGTGAAAATTAACTATAACAAAATATGTTAAGGAAACTTTGCACTATCTTGTGTATAACCTCAAACTCAATGTCTAGAATCATAATTCACAAATTTTCATGTTCCAGCTTGATCAATGTAGTTACCGAGTTATATAAAATGAAATGCCACCATTTGGGGAAAGATAAAGTAAATAAATGCATAATTCCAGCTAAAAGTATAATTTATGACACACTTGCTTAGCAAATAGTAGGCTGATACCAATAATTATATAACACAAAGTAATAAAAAATCTTCAGAAATAATTTTTTAATCAAAGAAAGAATTATAAATTAAAATTCTATGAAATTTGTCAATCATATGCCCATGTTGGTTTTAATAAAAATTATACACATGGAGCATAGTTAAAGGATTATGTGTATAACCTATAATTTTAAGTGAAATGAGGGGTAAATAGATTGAGAAATAGCTTTATAATTGGGATAATTATTCCTTTTTTCTACGATACATGACAATTCATCTGTCACTTACATATGACTCACTCACAGCAGGTTAGTCCAGAGCATGCCATCTTACCTTCTTTTTCTCTTACAAAGCACCAAACCAATCACTAGGGTGGTTACCAAGGTCACCAAGAGGACAAGAGGCACAATGATAGCAATGCTCCCTGGGAAAAATGATTCATAGAAGAATAAATAAACAAAATGATATAAAGCTTTGTGTAACTAAACAGTCACAAAAATTTCACCACTAATATTAATAAAAATAAAGCACGGCCGGGCGGTGGTGGCACACGCCTTTAATCCCAGCACTCGGGAGGCAGAGGCAGGTGGATCTCTGTGAGTTCGAAGCCAGGCTGGACCGACAGCCTCCAAAACAATACAGAGAAACCCTGTCTCATAAAAACCAAAAATAAATAAATAAATAAATAAATAAATAAATAAATAAATAAAGCATGGAACAAATGTCCATATTCCGAAATAATTACTATTTTATTAAAAATATCCTAGCAAGGCATGTACTAGGACACCTTTTTAAAGACATATTTTGTTTACATATTGCATTAATACACCAGAGATAAAAACTTTAATACATGAGTATTATGCAACAGTCTTGGGCAAACAGTACTAACGTTTTCCTAGGCTAACAGCTAGCACACATGAAACAAGGATGTTCACAGACAAAATATTTGAACTAACAATTCATCTAGAAGCAATACAATTCAACTTTTAAACAAAATTTAAATATCACAAACATTTATGAATTGAATATCAAAACTTATTAAAATATAAACAATTTCCTTTGGATAGGCATTGTACACAATGTGTAGGCACTTTATCAGAGTGATTGATGTTTCAATAATTACGTATAGAGAATACACAAGAAAGACAGACAACTGGAGATCAATTACCAAAATATCTAAAAATGCTTGTTAAAAATAAAATTCAAGTATACCAGCATCCCAGCTTTTTGCCTGGAGAAATACGTATTGACAGATACATGTGCACATATTTATCTATACATATGACTTCCATTTTTATTAATTTAAAATATCAATCTCATTTTATTCTTTCATGTTATCTTGCAAATTTATATTTTACCTTTGTTTCTTCAGAAGTGAACATTATTTGTATATTTCAATCTTCAGTAATTAATGAAGATAGACTATCAGACAGATTTGATGTAATTAACAGTTGTTTGTAAAGTTAAATACCAGGAAACAAGTTTGCTTCCTATTAATATATTGTCTCATTTGGTTGATCTCCACTTGACAAATATCTTCACTTTATTATACATTCTTTTTTCTGTTAAATCTTAGAAGATCATTAAATGTGTGAAGCCAACCAATACTAGATTCACTAGATTTGAAGAATGTAGGATTTGTGTCTGTGTCAGTGTAATTGTAAATTATTTATAAATTTATATGTTTACCTGTTCTCCCTCATTTCTGCCTTTCGACAATTTAAAGATATTAATTATGCATGCAAGAAAACTAAGCAACTCTTTTCCTTTTAATTTTCCCGACACAGATGGTAGCTGCAATCCCTATACATTACAGAGCTCTGTTTAAGATCTCAGACATCTGGTATGTTTATGCAACTTATCAAGGTAACTGCAATAAGGTATGGTATTGATAAATAACATAGGTAACATTTCATTTTTATTTTTTATAAAACATTAATAGATACAACTGATATAAATATTTAAAAAATTCTGTTTGTTTTGTCCTATTCTGGTTCATTTGCTTGTTATTTTTTTGCTTAAGCTTATTTTATTTTATTAATTTTTTAGATGTCTGTTTAAATCCTAATGAGAAAGAAGCAGTGTGGATTTGGGTGAATGGAAAAGTGGGAACTAACTGGGAGGATACATAATCAGAATATGTTGTATTAAAATGTCTATTTACAATAGAAAATAAGTAAGTTTCAGTGTAGTGTGATAATCAGCGAACATTTTTAGCATATAAGAATCCAACCTTTGCCGGGCATTGGTAGTGCATGCCTTTAATCCCACACTTGGGAGGCAGAGGCAGGCGGATCTCTGTGAGTTCGAGGCCAACCTGGTCTACAGAGCGAGTTCCAGAACAAGCTCCAAAACAATACAGAGAAACCCTGTCTCGAAAAAACAAAACACACACACACACACACACACACACAAAAGAATCCAACCTATTTAAAGGTATTTCTGTAGAACACAAAAAGTCGGTTGTTTTAAACTGATTGAAAGTGTGAGAGAGCCCAGGGAACTATCTCAGTAATGTCAGAAAGAACACAGGAGGTCATACTTTTTAATGTGGTCCTGGAGACTTAGTTTTTCTTGATGGACACAGTCTTGAATCTCTTGTGAAGCCACAGACACTGAGTCAAACCACTTCTTTTCTAAATACACTAGCAATGTTGACTTGGATAAATTGTTTCAGATTATAACGGTATAAAGTGCATGTTATCTTTAATCATCTCAAATTGGTGTAGCTATCACTATACCAGTAATGGGGAAAATATTTGTTGCATGCTGAAGAAATAATTGCATTATAACACTCTATGTGCCCATATTTTACACATTTCACAGTCTATTTGTACAACACCCCAACCCTTTGAGGACAAAACTTTTACTTCTCTTTTCTATGCAAATATTACAGTTCTTAAGATGACCTGAGGCTCTGTAGATATGCTCGCACTTCCTCTCATAACACTAGACACATATTAGATGATGAAACATAAATGTACATTAAATACGACATCATGTGGGCATAGTGGTGAATGCTTTTAATTCAAGCATAGCATTTGGGAGACAGGTAGAGCTCTATGATCATAAGTCTGTCCTGGTTTACATGGTGAACTCCAGTACAGTCAGGGATACATAGAGATCCTTTCTCCAAAGAACAACAACAGCAACAGAACAACTACAACAACAAAAAGCATGGCATCTTAAATACTACCTTATATAAGGTACACATTGCCCTGGGGACATAAACATTGTCTATCCAGTTAGTCTGAGCCTTATAAGAATCAAGCATTGAGAACTGAAGAATGGGAACTCTTCAGCCCCTAAGAGAGTATTAAAACATAGGAAATTAAAATGAAGCAATAACTAAGTAACAGATCGGAGTGAAGAATGTGTAGTTGGGAAGACATATGACATACAAGAAAACAGAAGAGATGTTAGAAAGGCATGTGTAAGACATATAAATGAGTTGCTAATTTATAGTACAAAAGAAAAAGAGACAATACTGAAAAACTAGGAAGAAACAATATGAATGCATTACTTAGTTCAATTTAAGAGATAGAATGCATGGTTCATATACAACTCTGCTGTTTAGGTACTTAAGTTAATTTGCAGCCATCTAAAATTTAATTTGTTAGGGTGGAGAAAAGTGAGGAAAATCTGGGTGTATGCTGAGATGGAGACTCTTCAGGAGTATAGGGTGTCAGTCTCAAACTCAGTAGAAGATAGAAAGAACCTAAGAGTTTCAAAGAATTAGCACAGGATTGATAACTAAGGTGAGGAAGACAGGGCTTGCTAAAGATGCTAAAGGAACAGCCAGTGTGTCATCCACATAGAGTGAAAGCAGAAAGTGTCACAAAAGGAAGGTGGAGCTTTTCCCAGATGGGGACTGGTATGAAAAGTTTAGAAATGAAAAGGCAAAGGGAGGAGTTTGTCTTCTTACAACTGCAACATTATCTCACTATGCACTTCAGGGTGGCCTCAAACATAAAATTTAGACCAGATGTTTTTCAGTCTTCTAGCAATTCTCCTGCCTCTGCATCCCAGCTTCTGGGATTACAGAGACACATTACTATGCCAAAGAAAATAACATCTTTCTTATTGATTGAAGTTACAGTAAAAATTGAATAAGTAAAATGAGAGAATAAACTAGTCCTTTTTGGCATGTTAGAGGATATTCTACATTTTAGTACATGGTTATAAAGATAAAAAATCTCTTTATGTAAAAAGATTCAATGGTACTCTCAAAAGATATTACGAATTGCTGCTAAGACTCTAAAGAAAGTATCAAATATTATATTCCAGCTGAGCCAAACTAACTATGAAGTGGCTGCAGGTATGTGCTTGTCATCATGGGCCAGTTTCACTCTGTTCCCTTCCCTTGTCCTGCTGCTACTAGCATCAACAACATCACTTCCCATGGACATCGTTTTGCTCTCAGGTCTATTATATATCATGCTTCTGAACCTTTGCTCCTTTTTATATTTCCACAAACCTCTGTAACCTTAGTCAGTTTCAGCCAGGCTCTAGGTTGGCCCCTTTTCCACAGAGAAATCAACAGCCATCTTACTATTTGCCCTAGATCCAGGATGTACAACAGTGTTTGGGATTCATGTTTTTGGGAGAAGTGGATGGAAGATATAATCATATCAGTAATATTTCCATATTTGCATGTTTCAGAGCCTTGGTATCCTGTAATCAGATTTTTTATGTTAAAATAGAACAGATGGCATAAAATAAATAATGATGATTCAGGGCAGAGCTAAAATGATGTGTCTCATGCTGCAGTAAAGAAAAGAACTCTTCCATATTGCCATCATGAAGTGCTGATTATATTTTTTCTTAATTTTAGCATATACAACAAATAGCACAACTTAAAATTTGATCATCACTCTCCCTAAAATTTTATGTGAATTTAAAATAGGAGTATGAAATGACATCTCTTATTCAGAGTCTGAAACTATAGAGACAAGACAGAGTAGCTTTTCAAGTGGAATCTGAGCACAAAATACTAGAATAACAGTTTTGCATAATTACCCAAGCTGTTTTCTCGGCATTGGATGCATCAAGACCCAAAAGATACCTGTAGTGCTACATGGAAATGAGTATGAAAACTACGCATGAATTAGAGAGCAAAACTCCATGTGGAGAGACAAGACCTGTCAAAGGAAGGCACCATGCTCCTAACCAGGCCAATTTTTATGATGCAGAAGGGGCAATTTGAATGAGAATGGCCGCCAATGCGTCTCAGTTCTGTGTACATTTGACCTCCAATTGGTGGCACTTTTGGTTGGTTTAGTGTGTGTGCCCTTGCTGGAGGAAATGTGTCACAAGGATGGCTTTGAGGAAAACCACACATCAACCCGACTTCCCCCATCTTTCATGTTTTTAGTTCAAGATGTGAGACCTTAGCTTCCTGCTCCAGCCCCCATGCACGGCACT